GGATATATATAGGATATATATCTGACTATACACACTTGAAACCTACGATTCCAATTTATATTCTGGTACAACGTAAAAAGTACCCGGCACTGGATTCCGTTGCGGGTTATTCTGCTGTGCTGGCTTTCTAGGGTTTATCACATTCGGCGAGTGCATTTGAGCCGAAGAACTTCGGCGTTGTTTGGGGTGTTCCTGACCCTGGCCGTGTCCTTGGCCAGGTGCTTTACTAGTAGGAACTATTACCACCTTTTTGCCCCCCTGAGAATTTGGCCTCGAACCACCCCCTCCCCCAGGATTCCCACTACCTCCATGTTGTTGGGCTCGGGGTACCAATACACCATCTTGGGGCTGATTGGGTCTGGGTTGGCGTTGCGGTTGAGGGCTTCTAGAAGGTTGTTGAGTGCTTATATTACGCGGATCAAGCACGCCGTCCATAGGATTAACCGGATATGGTCCTGACGGTCTACTGTTGTTTCCTGATGCCGTGTTCGCACGCGGGCGGCCACCCCTGTTAGGGTTGGGAGATGCACCAGCACCAGACATGATATAATATGCTATATTTCAGCGTATTAGGAGTATTAGAACCGTACGATATCGCACACCAACTAACACAACACCACAATTCCACAAATATAGATTGGCCTATGGCATACGTTTGTCAACAAACAACTAAAACGTCTAGGACAGGCGTATGACTAATGCAAGGTCTAGTTCTACGTGGTCAAAACACACACATCGACACGCTAGAGTGGGACGTGTACCATTTGTTTAGGCAATGAAGTTGGCAAGTATGTATGGATTATACCGTTCATGGTTAAACACCGCGGCAGGGAAGTATTTTCTATTTTATCACACAAACATATAAAAATTTGGGTATTTGTGTTGATCCGGGAGTCTATTCATAGCATCCAATGGAAGCCACGTTGGAATATAATCTTACGAATTTCTAGATTTTATTTTCGAAAAATTTATGTTTTACAGTCGTTCTGGGGTGGTTAGGGTAATTATTTCTAAAAGCACAAATTCCGTGAGATTTATCTTGGCCATTTACAGTCTACAGACAGTGCTCGACAATTTTTTAGAGTTGATTTTTCACAGAGAGAATTTGATTTTTTTTCAGAGAATTTTCTATATATGTATGTACAACGGGGGGGTTTAGGGTTTTAGCGTTTTAGCTTAGGTGTTTGGGTTTACAGTGTCACGTGCCAAAGATCCCGCGATCTTTCGATATCCTCTATATTTAAAAAAATACTGTCTTCGATATATACATTTCCAAAAGAATACTATGTATGTATGTATTTATTTACTAGTAGAGAGAGTAGAGAGAGAGAGAGCGAGAGAGCGAGAGAGCGATAGAGCTCTCTTTTGTCTGATTTGAAGTAGTCTATTGTATATATCACAATATATACATTTCATA